TCCAGACATATCAAAAGCAATGTACCTGCTCAGAGTCACAGCATCAATTCAATTCGCAAAACAATGATGGCAAAGAGATCCCTGAGGAGAAACATCCTTAGCATCAAAAGTGAATCTTTGAATACACGAAAAGACAGACAGGTCTCCCCAACCTGGTTGAGCCCCACAGACACGCCACATACCCATACACCCACGCACAGTGAAACTGTGGAGAGCACTACCCCAGTGAGCACCCCGACTACAGACATGCTTCCCCCAAGTACTCTCCCTGGGGGAATGCACAGCTCCACCACTACACTCAGCACTCAAGTCAGCGATGGGACTGTAGCCACAGGTTTTACAAGTCCTCCTGCGGGTGTAACACCCAGCCCGCCCTCACAGTCCACTAGCACGGTCAACGTTGCCACTTCAACCACACGATCCACGAGCACTCTCCCTGGGGGAACGCACAGCTTCACCACAACACTCAGCACTGAAGTCAGTGATGGGAGTGTAGCCACAGGTTTTACAAGTTCCCCTCCAGGTGCAACACCCAGCCCGCCCTCACAGGCCACTACCACCGTCAACATTGCCACTTCAACCGCGCCATCCACGAGCACTCTCCCCAGCGAGACACACAGCCCCACAACTGCACACAGCCCGCCAGCAGAAACAAACAGTACAGTAGGCGGTCCGACTTCAAACACAGCATCTGCAAGTACTGCCTCGCCTGAAGCACAAGTCTCCCCAACCACGCCGAGCCCCACAGACAGGCCAGACACCCATGCACCCACACACAGCACCTCCGTGCACAGCACTACCCGGGTGAGCGCCGCAACTACAGACATGCTTCCCAAAAGTACTCTCCCTGGGGGAACGCACAGCTTCACCACTGCACTCAGCACTCAAGTCAGCGATGGGACTGTAGCCACAGGTTTTACAAGTTCTCCTCCGGGTGCAACACCCAGCCCTCCCTCACAGTCCACAAGCACCGTCAACGTTGCCACTTCAACCACACGATCCACAAGCACTCTCTCCAGCGAGACAGGCAGCCCCACAATTGCAACCAGCCCCCCAGCAGATACAAACAGTACAGTCGGTGTTCTGTCTTCGAACACAGCATCTGCAAGTACTGCCTCGCCTGAAGCACAAGTCTCCCCAACCACGTCGAGCCCCACAGATGGGCCAGACAACCATGGACCCACACACAGCACTTCCGTGCAGAGCAGTACCCCGGTGAGCACCCCGACTATAGACATGGTTCCCCCAAGTGCTCTCCCTGAGGGAACGCACAGCTCCACCACGACGCTCAGCACTCAAGTCAGTGATGGGAGT